CTATTTGGCACGGGTTCTGGGCCTTAGGTTGTGAGCCTATCTCTTTGGCAGCCACCATTGGACCCCCTGCACTCCCCCCCTCCCAGGCTAGAAGCAGGGGCCCTGTTTTCCCCCACGGGATCCCCTACCCTTTGCTTGTTTCTGGTGGGTGTGGGAGGCAGGGGTGTGGAGCCCCTTCAGGAGTTACATCAAGAGTTTAGCTGAGGAGTCCTTCCTAGAGCTGTCCAGCTGGGGTGGGGCAGGCAGGCACCTCGTAGATGGGCACAGACAGCTGGCCGAACCCAGCAGCAGCCTCTTCATTTGTGGGGAGGCCGCATGGCACAGGGTGACCAGCTTGGGCTCTGAAGCTGGCTGCACTCTCAAACCTACACTCAACACTCTGAGCTGTGTGACCTTGGATAAGTCACTGACCCTCTCTGAGCCTCTGGTTCCTCTGCAAGGGGGAGTTAATGGTAGGTGTCACCTGGGGGCTGCTTTGAGGGTTAGGTGACTTATTGCTGTGGCGTATAGTGAGCCCTTGTCCTTTTGCTTCTTCCACTCAACAGTAATTTCTTGAGTGCCCACTGTGGCCAGGTAGCATGTTAGGCACTGGGGATGCAAAGGTGAGCGAGATGGACTTGGTCTCTGCTCCCACAGAACTTCTGGTGTGTCAAGAAGGTCGATCTGTTACTTAAATAGCTCCTTGACATGACGTTCCAGGTGAGGCTAGAGCTCTGAGGATGTCCCAGCAGGAGCATCACTAGCCAGGCACAGGGGATGGTTCTGAGTAGAGGAGTGGACAGAGGCGCCAAGGCTGGAGGGGGTGTGGCCTATGTGGAAGGGGCTGAGAGTTTGTCAGGGCCGGGGGCCAGAGCCTCCAGGACAGGGGTGAAGGAAGAACTTGGGTGCACTCTGAGCTTCTCAGGTGTGGCAGGTGGGCGAGAGTGAGCCCCTCACCCTGGTGGTATGCAAGCAGCCTGGGTGCCCACCTGCCAGAGACCTCTAAGAGTGATGACTTTTCTTGAGATTGCCTTGCCCATCCATGACAGGGAACAGTAATTGTCCCCACCTCACACAGGGGATTGCGTCCTGTCTGAGCTGGGCTTTGACTGTTCTCGCATCTCACTGGCAGCCCAAGGATATTCCTGCAGGTGCCTTTGGCCTGTGCTTTTGCTCATGTAGTGGAGGGCATGGCAGGGGCATGGGCCGTGGGGGATGCACTCCATGCTGGGAGCCTTTCTCCCGGCAGCGTCTCACCAAAGCTGTGAGGGCCACCTGCCCCATCAGTTGGCCATGATCACAGCCTCCTGTCCCTGTCCCAGCAAGACAATGGGCTGGGGTGAGCTGGAAGGAACCATCTGTGTTTAGGAGGGGGAACAGGCTTTCCCTCCATCTCCTGCTACAAACTGCTGCTGGGTTGCACCCCCAGCCCTTGAATGTGCAGGGTCACATCAACTTGCAGTACCCCCAGGACCAGCCCTAGAGTGAGCATGGTCCCAGGCCAAGGCCAAGGAAGGATTCTCACCTGGGTCAACACTGCAGCATCCTCAGCTCCCTCACCCACGAGGGGCATGGGTGAAGCTGTCCCTGAACGCTCTCTGGCTGTGCCTTCTGTATCTGGGGAGAGAAATAGCCTCTGTGCTGTCCTCTAGATTAGTGTTTATGCCACTGGGCTGCTCATTGTATCCATCTCTTCTGTCAGCCTGGAAACTCAGAGGGTAAACTTGGTGCTCATTCCTGAGCACTGTGTCCCCAGCAGGCAGCCCGGGGCCTCTGGTCAGAGCACCCTGACCATGGCTTCCTGGCCTTGCCCCATCTGGTCTCTGCCCACTGTTGGCCTCCTCATGTGTCTATCCCTGTGACAGCCCAGCTCAGTATGCAGTGGGTTCCTCCAGGGTGCCCAGCACCGTTTGGTCTCCACATGTCTTCAGGTCTGAGTGCAGAGCCCTCTCAGTCCTTCCCATTGTGGCCCCAGGCACATGGTAGGTGCCCACTGGTGAATGAAAATTACTAACACACGTGAGGGGAGTGATCTGGGGTGCAGTGAGGAGACTGCCCTGTCCCATGTCCCGGGAGGGGAGGCAGCCACTGGACACCTGCCCAGCTTGATACAGAGGCAACCACAGTGCTCACAGACACTGGCCCGTGGGACTTCCTGCCCAGACTGGAGGCTGAAGGCAGGAGGGTCAGAGACTAGCAGGTGGGGCTGGCAGCCTGGCCTGCCCCAGTCCTATCTCAGTGTGGTGAGGGGGAGGATGCAGGTGACTTGCCTGAATTAGTGTGGCAACTCAGAGCAGCCTCCAAATCGCTCTGCGTGGTCTGAATAGAGGCCCCTCTCAGATACATCTGCCCACAGCCTACAAACGTGACATTATCTGTAGATGTGACTAAAGATCTCGAGATCATCCAGGATTATCCATGGGCTGTAAATCCAATGATACATCCTATGGGAGAAAGGCAAGAAGAGATGTGAGACGAGGAGGAGGCAGTTGGCACGATGTGGCCACAAGCCAAGGAATGTCAGTGGGCACCAGAAGTGGGGGGAAAGATTCTTCCCTGGAGCCTTGCAGCTGAGTTGGTGGTAATTTGTTGTGGCTGCTGCGGGAAATGAACACACACTCTAAGGCTCCACTTCCTCCTCGGTCTTCAGACGAGAATCTCCACTCTGCAGGATTGTCAGAGGATCACTGCTTGGCTGTGGAGGTGGCATTTGAACTGCACGTACAGAGGGCTTGCCTCAGGTTCACGGCAGCCCTAGGTGCACTGCAGAGCTCACCTGAGGCCATGCTTCCCCTGGGCTGCTCCCAGACAGCGGCAGAGCACAGCCGGGACATCAGATGCTGCTAAGGGGCAACTAGGGTCTTCCCTTGGCCTGGCTGAGAAGAACCGGGCTCCTTCCTCCCACCTGCTCCCCTCTTCCTAGAGAGGGGAGCCCAGCACTGCATCCGCAGGCTCTCCCTGCTTTCTCCTGCTCCCTCTGCCTTGGCCCAGCACAGGTGTCTCCCCCAGGGAGCCTCTTGCAGCTCTTATCCCATCCTGGTGCCTGCTTCTTGGAGAATTTCTTCTGATCCAATTTGGGTAGGCTCTCAGGGAATTTCCAACATTGCTCTTTTCTCTGGGGCCGCAACTTGTGTCAGGTGGAAACAGCCCCTGTGAGCCTTCTTGGCACCTGGTGGGATGGGGAACACTTGGACTTCGAGCTGGGAGGCCCACACTTGCATGTGCTCTCTGAGCCTCAGTGTCCTCTCTGTGGAATGAGCTGGCCAGCTCAGATGCCCAGACCTCTCTGTTTTTCTCCTTTTATTCTTTAAATCCTTTTCTGTCTCCCACTTAGGTCTGATGAGCCGTGGAAAGTTATAAACAAGGGCTTGGTTTATTTTACAACGTAGAATTGGTTGGTTTTGAATGTTCATGCTCTTTTATATTGATATGGAGCCAGACACCTTGGTTCACTTTCTGGCTCTATCATTTGCCAGCCGTGTGGCTTTGGACAGTTGCCTGTCCTCTCTATGCCTCGTTTTCCTCATCTATAAAATAATGATATATAATAGCATGCAGCTCATGAGGATTTTCTGACGATTAAATGAGTTAATATATCCAAGGTGCACAGGGATGTGGCACCCAATTACTATGTGTTGACTATACCGTTAACCTCTTGGTTACTTTCTCCTCTCCTGCAAATGTCACCTTGGAAAGATGGAGGCAGCCTGGTGGAGGTGTATCTGTTAGACACCAGCATCCAGAGTGGCCACCGGGAAATTGAAGGCAGGGTCACAGTCACTGACTTCGGGAGCGTGCCCGAGGAGGATGGGACCCGCTTCCACAGACAGGTAAGCCTGACCTCAGAGGAAGGCCCCCCGCCCTCCCCCATATCCTGGAGGTGGTTGGAGACTGCTGGTCTGGCCTCCCAGCTGCCACTGTGCTGTCTCTGCCATCGGTTTTGGGCTGGGGGGTGTCCATTCAGCCAGCCAGCTGTGGATACATTATGGGATGGGCAGGCTTTCCCACAGTCTTTGTGTTGGTTGAGCAGGCGAGCAAGTGTGACAGCCATGGCACCCACCTGGCAGGGGTGCTCAGCGGCCGAGATGCTGGTGTGGCCAAGGGCACCAGCCTGCACAGCCTTCGTGTGCTCAACTGCCAAGGGAAGGGCACGGTCAGCAACACCCTCATAGGTGAGTGGTGGCTCCAGTGGCACCGGTGTCTCTCCACC